TATTTTTGTTACCCCATTGGACGATCCACGGTTAGTTATTCGTTGGGGAATCATTTCGAATTGACACTGAAAGAATTGTAACTATGTTGGTTAGTTGAATGAATTTTTTTCAGTACAAGATCATCCTTCTGAATTTTTTGGATTATATACACCCCTTTTTCTTACCTCTATGGATGGTTCAGAATTAATTATTTCTTTGGTAGAGCCTTCAGTTATTATTCTCCATTACTATAATAATTACTAACGCAAAATACATTATTTTCACCAAAAAATCATCTCCCTGAATTTTCTACCACGAATTTACTTCTTGTTTAACCACGTTGGAAGCTAGAAAATCACTTATTCATATTTTTAACTGCAGAAACATTTAACCTTTTGCAGTCCTGTGTCAAGACTGACTCGACATTAAATTTTAGTTTCATCACTAGTATTCTAGCAGTCTCTGTAATACATTTCACAATATTCCATTTACATCATACATAAATATTATCTCAATACCTCTTAAATTTCACGTATCTATATACTATCAAATCGACCAATTAAAATGTAGTTAAACTATCCAATATATATTTAAGCGCAAGAAAGCCCATGCCAAGAATACTTCGACCAGCAAACATTTAACAGGAAGTAATCCTCAGGAATATTTCGTTCAAATAAAAAAAATCTTTTAGAATAGTGTAAAAACCAACTATTTTTCATTGATCAGGATGAGCACGTAACGAAACCAGGCACCGAAAGTTTCATTGAATTCTTTATTCCACAGTTCCTACAGTTATATTCGAAAACGGTGCGTGTAGGTCGCGGGTCCTCGAGGATTTCGGGTGCAAGCAGGTCAGGCCCCGTATAAAGGGTTATTCATCCGAGGCCAGGCGGGATTAAATGATTAAAAAAAAAAGGAAAGAAGAGAGGGGAGCACGACTGAAATACGGGGCCCCTTACGCGTTTCACGGTTCGAGTTTTTTGAAAATTTTACACACACTGTGTGCCTTGGGTTACCATCCGGATCGACCTTCCCCTCCACCCCTTCGCCTCTCAGCCAATCGCACGAGTTTCAAGAACCCACGAATAAAAGGGTTCTGCCTGAAAGCTGGATCTCGGGCGTTAAGGGTAGAAAAAGAAGTGGAAGGGGGAAAAATTTTTTTTTTTTTTTCCGTCCACGTTTCGTCCATGTGGGTGGCGGAGTCCCCTGTGTCGTCCCCATAGAACAACATTCAATAGCGACTCCTATCCGAAAACTTCGGTGATCCCACGTCACAATAGAGGGACATTAATCCCTCGTGTGATCCTATAAGCCCGTCGACTGGACAAATATTTTTTTACGGTTAACGCGTCGACTGTAGCGTGTCATTTATGGAGACACACAGAAAGGTAATCGAAAATCCGATTAATAAATTAGTAGCCCGTTTCTGTTACTTTAAATTATCGTTGTTACCGTTTGACGAGTTCCCCAAGGCCAGGTTCTGCTCGATAGACAGGCGCACTACGGAGGTTTGGCACGATTCCTGCGACCTGGGGCCAGTCGTAATTGGCCGTCAAGAAAATGTCTGACATTCCCGGATACGAGAGAAGAATCGTGGTCCACGGTGTTACTTGTGAATCGATGCGTCTGTTTCTTACTTAACCCTCGAAGAGCTTTTAATGTTTCTATGGACAGCAGTGCCTGGGTCAGTTTAGACCCTTATGTTATCTTCTCTGTAATACAGTGACTCACAAATTTATTCACGGAAGACAGTAACATTTATTTAACCAAATTACTTAACGAATTGCGAAGTTTAGTTCAGAGTTGGGAAAAATTGATCGAATTAGCATAGGTAAATAGGAATTGCATAAAAATTTGTACACTTATTTCGAAAGTATCTGAACAAATGTGTGAATCACTGTTTTTTTTATGACATAATATGTCAGTAACTTCTGACAATCACATTGAAGCTCTCTTGAAACCATGATCTACCTGATAAAAACATTTTCGATCGGACTGCTAATATCCTCCACTGCTCACGATTCGAGGTTCACCCTGTATAATAAATGACATTTATAAGTCCCACTAATAGATTTATAAGATAATTTCTATCGAGCTTTTCCGAACCAGGGTCCAAACAGACCCAGTCATCGTCGTCCTATGGTTAATATGAACCGATTCTAGAGCCTTGACCGCCGATTTATCGTGTCTCTGTTTCTCCTCGTTTCGCTGGGCCCGTAAATTTGCCGGGGATCGCACGGTTTTCTTCTCGGTCGGACCGGCACGGCAGCAGCCGGAAGGTGGGCTCTAACGAGCGGCGCAAAACGCACGCAGCTGCGTTACATAATTACCCGCGCACCGGAGGATAGATTAATAGTCGTAAACGAACGTTGCGCAACAATATATACGCGCGCGTTCCCGGTTCAGCCGTGCCGTGTAATTAATTTAAACATCCAGGCCGAACCGTGAATTTCGTAACTCCTCGGGCACGCGCGCGACAAGCCACCAGGGACATCGATTTGCCCTTCGATCGGAAATCGACAATCCCCGAAAAAAGATTTTATTATTATATTAGCGAGTATCAACGAGCAGTTAACACTAGGTTTACGAGCATTTATCGTGTAGGTATCTCCACGGCACGGGTCAACGAACCCGCAGATTTTCTTTAAAAAACAACTTATTTTATATAATACACTATTTATGATCTCTGAAATTAATGCATAGCTGTAGAGATAGGTATACCACATAGAGAATTTCGAGGTTGGAAAGCATTCGAAATGCGTCAAAATGACGCGTTCCGTAAACCTAGTGTTAAAATGAACACTGGCAGGAAGAAGTCCCCAGATGTTACGTTAGCTTTTTAATTAGATTTGGTGCAGTGATAAATAGTTTGGAGCTCTGAAGCCTATGGTGTTTGTTTCAGTAGCATATTGCAATTAGTTTGCAAGATATTCAATGATAATGTTCCGTAGGCAGATATTTTGCCACTGTAGACTACTACACAATTCCAAGCTTTATCACTGTGCTGGGCCTAATTAAAAAGTCAGCGTAACACCTGGGGCGTTATCCTTGCGAAGTACCAGATGCAATAGCTGAGGCCTCGTTGCTGCTTCTAATTTGTGTTTCAACAAAGTGCCAAAATTATAAATTAGTATCCCATAAACTATGAAAAAAGTGCGTAGAGTCTAGTAAATAATTTATAAATTGTCATAAACCAAGATGTTAATTACTAAAGAACATTGTTCCTTGTAGGTGGTTCCCATTTTGAGGGACATAATGAAGCAAGGTGCACTAAAGTGCCAAAATCATAATTTAGTGTCCGACAAATTGTGGAAATACTCTGTGATGTCTAATAATTCGAACATTCCCATAAACCAAGGTATAACCACTAAAGAACGTAGTTCCTTGCAGAGGTTCCTCCTAGTTTGCAGGGCATAAAAGCATAATGCCCAGCGGTTTCTCTCTTTCTCGCAACCTTTACCATTTCGTCTCTGTTCGCCAGCGTTCCTTTTTCTCTCGTTTCCCCCGGCCCCCGAGACGTTGGAACCCCGTTCCACTCTTTCGCGTACACACGTGCGCGCATATAAAACTCTGGCCGGTGTGTACCACCCATCCCCGCTTCGTCGCGTGTTGGTAGGGGGAAACGCCCCCCCCCCCTGTAAGAGAAATATTCGACAATTTTTAAACTCGTTTCTGAACGCATTCAAACGTGCGCGCACACAGTCGGCAAGTAGGAATTTCTTGGAATCGGCCGGGTCCCCGCCGAGGGGCGCCGCCGAACGGTGGAACGTGGTTTCCGGCGTAACGGGGGTGGGGGGCCACGGTGCTATATATTCTCCCTCGAGGTTACATATTTCGCGGTTATTCGCGAGATTCCCGAGACTCGGGTGAGAATTACGATCGCGTTCGAGCCGAATGTACGATAAATTTCGGTCAATCTCCACGATTTCGTGGTGGAGCAGAATGCTAATGGATGGAGATTCTGATGGTTTACTGGACTGTTATTTGAATTAAATATTGGATTTTATTGTGTAACCTTGTTGTAATACTTTGAGGCTTTATTACTGTAAAATGCAAGCATATCTTTTCGAAGCATTTTTTTCTATTTGAGTTCTTCTACCACCTCAGTATTTCTTAGAGTTATATGATATTGGTTCTTTCATCTTTAAGCTTCGAGGAGAATAGTGTGGTTCCCATGAATATTTAAAAATTCCCGCGAGTACTTACGTGTGGTTCGTAACGATGTGCGATAGTCCTCTCTTATTACCATCGTTTTATCTCTGAAATTCTTCTTTTTATGCCAGCACTCTCTTTATTTCGCCGTGTATCGCGGATAACCAGTTTTGCGGGTGTCCAAGCGCAGGCGGGTCGTCGAACCGCTCATAATTCTTAATGCGTGCATTGGAAACTGCTCTATGTAGTATGTGTCCGTTGCGGTGCAGCAGCGCCACTGCAGTTGAAACCATTTGCGAATGCAGGTCGGTATGGCTGAGACTTTTCTGATCGACAGATCTTTTCCTTACCATCGTTCTGTTCTACCGACGTATAATTCTCGTACCGATCGGGATGGCTGAGTGCGTCGGTTATGTAGGAACCTATTCTATCGTCGAATTTAAAACTGATTAAAACCGAATTTACTTTACGATAAATCTGACAGAGTGCGTAACAAACAATTTCTTTTTATTCTTCTCAGCTATAGACAAACTTTCAGTATATAAGAACGTAATTAATCCGACAAGTACTGAACACTCGTAGTAGCATTAACAAATCGTGATGAAATCGAAAAGGATTCAAAGAAGCAATGATTATAACAGCTACTTCAAACGATACGGTTTTGTGACCGACCAATTGTATATTTTACTCGATTGAACCCAAACTGATCGACTCCGTGACATAAATATTAAAACAAATAGACATGATATTTTAAAAGTTATATCAATGTTATTAAAAAGCAATGTACATCAGTTTAACTTCCAAGAGGGTCAATCACCCAGTCAGCAGACGGATTCTGACCACGGCCATTCGCCTTTTCTGATTTCAGCCTTACTGAGACAAAGCATGTCGCCGGTCGCGGACACCTTGATCGGTAGCTCGAAAAGCTCGGTGTCCCAGCCGATAATCGATTACTCCCGATACGTGAGGCGGTACACGTCCGGCCAGGAGTGTGGTAGCTCGTACTGCAAGGAGCTCGGTTGTCGCGAGCATTTTCACTGTCTGGACTGCAGCGGTAGGGTGTTCGTGAAAAAGGAGGAGATGATCAGGCATTTCAAGTGGCACAAAAAGCGGGACGAATCTTTGCAGCACGGTTTCATGAGGTATTCGCCGACAGACGACTGCTCGGAACGACATCCGGGCCGTGCCTGTCCCCACAATCGAAAACAGACCCATTACCATTGCATCCACGAGAACTGCGACAAGGTTTACATATCCACGTCGGACGTGCAGATGCACGCGAACTACCATCGCAAGGATTCGGCCATTATACAAGAGGGTTTCCAGCGATTTCGTGCCACAGAGAGTTGCGCTACCGATCACTGTCCCTTCGTTGGTCAACGGACCACGCACTTCCACTGCCGGCGAGCCGGTTGTCGGTTCACCTTCAAGAACAAGGCTGACATGGGTAAGGGATCGAATAAAATTTATCGTATGAAGTTCCTGCAAACTTACGAATGATTTAGTCGACCTAGATCATCTAAGCTTCAAAGTCCTATCGTCTTCTTTCAGACAAACACAAGTCCTACCACATCAAAGACGAACAGCTCTCCCGAGACGGTTTCAAGAAGTTCATGAAATCCGAGGCCTGCCCCTTCGAACAGTGCCGTTTCTCTCGCGTCTGCAACCACATTCACTGCATAAGACCACACTGTAGTTACGTCCTCCATTCATCTGGTCAGCTGTTCTCCCACAAACGGAAACACGAACGCCACGAGTCCGAGTTAGCCTACAGGAAGTACAAGCAGATCAGTTCCGTAGGCGGAGTCAGACCAACAGGCTCTTGGCCACCCGACGACCTCAGTGGTCAAAGCCTTTCGCTGAGCTTGAACGGCGAAAGCTCGAACGAGGGCAGAGGATCTCCGTCCTACTACTCACTAGACGACTCCTTTCAAAGTGGTAGCGATCTAGCGATGGATCTCACCGCCCCAACCACCACCACTGCAGTCTCTGCGAGTGGAAGCTCCACGGTGACGGTCGAGCAACAGCAACAACAGCATCAGCAGCAGCATCAACAACAGAACCAGTTGACCGCCACAGAATTAGCCTACCTGGTACCAGCTAACGCCGACTGTCCCTGTCACCTGGCCAGGGACCATCATCACTGCGGCCTGGATCGTTGTGGCGCCGCTTTAAGAGACCCTCGTGAGGTCCGAGAACATCTCAGGGAGCACGAAACTCAAGAACGCATCACCGATGCCTTTTTCGAAGAAGGCGGCTGCGACGACAATTGCCCGTACGCGGAGAAAGAGAAGCACTACCATTGCAACTGGGAGAACTGTCGCGAGGTGATTCTGTCCACCGACAAACCGTTCCGTCGTCTTCAACATTACAAGATCCACGAGTACAGCAGACAGCTGAACCTTTCCTGCTCTCCCCACGCCCTCTCCTCCGACGTGACGTTAACCCATCTGACCAATATCGACGCGATGTTCAGGCGGAAGCGAGGCAGACCACCGAAGAACCGTGTGATCGAGATCTGGTCGGGTGGCGATCCCACCACCCACACGCATGATTCTCCCCAGGCTATCTTCACCAGTTTCAAGCTACCCAAACCTCAGACCCCAACTCTGTCCAGTAATCCACTAACGGAGGATCGAGAAGGAAGCATCTCCCCGTCGAACAGCCTTGGCGAACCGGAAGGATTCTCCAGCTACAACCAAGACGGATGCCCTGACCCAGCCTGCGTGCTCAGGTCCACGAGACACCATCACTGCTCCCAGTCCAGGTGTCACTTCTCCACCGACCGACCGGACCAATTGCTGATGCACAGCAAGGACTTTCACGATAACGTCGACATACCGCCTGGTTTCGCGTTTTTCGACAAAATGGTGGATTGCAGGCTACCGGGCTGCCATAGCAATCGTGTTAATCGACACTTCCACTGCACAAGGCCGAATTGCGGCTACTCGTTCGTCAGATACTCGACCATGACTTTCCACGAGAAGCAACACACCGATCAGATTGAACTTGTCGGTCATGAATCCACGTTGGTTCAGGAGTGTCAGGCACAGATTCAGCCGGTGGTTCATGAGGCTAAACCACGGATCCACGTGAAGAATCCCGCGGAGTTGATCGAGAAACCGGATGAATGCTTGACAGTGCAGGATCTGGAGAACAGGGCGATGATGGAGGAAAAGGAAACGGAGATTCCCAGTCCTGATGCAAGCAAGACCACCGGTAAGTGGGGATTAACGCGTGGACACGAACCCAGTGCACTTGTACAGTACGGTTTTTCATAGAGTTCTGTTTGGTAGTTACTTGAGCCAGGCGATAGAGTCGAGATGATGCATGTCCTTTCTGCACGTATATTACACACGCACTTTAATTGTATATCTTGAACACATCAGCACAACCCACCGAGCCTTTCGATGGTCCAGACCTGCTTATCGAAAGGATCGATTATGTTCGCGGATTGGCACGTGAGCTGCGTCCGTTTCTAGTGGTAAAACGTAGTGGCAGTTTTTAGTGGATTTTTTTTTTTTTTTTTTAGACCAATCACGGGCTTATCTGATAGATCGTTTTATAAATCTTTGCGTTCCCTTTGACACGTGAATTTATTTATTTATTTATTTATTCGTTTTACACTAGAACTACCAAGCAAGTCAAAATGGCTTGTCAATAGACTTTTAAAATGTTACGACAATAGATTTTTTCTCAGATCTTTTGCGCCTTTTATTACGATATGAAAGTGAAACAATTAGTCGATTTCTAAATTTCTAAATTTTCCAAAGTTTTTAACGTTTATCCACCGTTCGAAGCGAATATGCGTTTATCGTCGGTAGTTCTAGTGTTAATGTAACTAAAACGGGCATAGCCCTTTTGTACAAAAAGTTATAATAGGATGAAGGTTTTTGTATACAGTAATTCCAGATTACTTATTCATGTTTCTTAAGTGATTTGTGAATCAAAAAATATTAGTAACTTATCTCGAGTTCGTTTCAACTGTCAAAGAAATGTTAGCGGTAGTCAAAAGACAACGTCGAATATTTTCAGCCTGGAGATACGCAGAGATTTATAGAGTGACACGTTACATCCTCATCGCTCAATTTTTTTTTCGTTTTCATTACGTTTGTACATTGATTTTTTTTCTTTTTTTTTTTTTTTTTTTTTTTTTTTTTTTTTTTTTTTTTATGGTTGTAATTCTAGTGGGAGGTATATTTGAAGTGTTGGTTGTTTGGTTGATTGTTGCTAGTGGTGAGGGCGGCAGGCACCTATTATCCGGTCAGTGGACCGCCGAGTGAACCTGCACTTCCGGGCGTCGTGCTATCCATGCGAACTTCCGTGCATCAAGGTTCGTGTCTCTTTCGACGACGATATATTTCTTGCCTTGAAACGTGTTCTCTTAGTAACGACACAGACAAGAGCCAGGATATACCCAATACAATCATAATCAATCCGTGTTCTACAATTTTCCTAAATAGTTTACCGTATAATTGAAATTTACTCTATTCCGCTGCCTTAATAGAAATACCAGAAAAAATTGACGACCAAGGACCAGTATCATTAACGAAGTACCTACATACTTCCAAAATATTCTGCTCCCAGTAGATATAAATCTCCTAGATATTGGGTTCATCATGGACCTCGTCTGTGGTACCAGCAATGTCGTCACGACCGACGTTCACCGGTCACCTTGCACCCTCTAAACACTGACCATTTCCTTTACAGAGTCCCCGGTTCTACCATCCACCAGTTCAGCCTCGCCCCACACGCTCTACGGGCCGGAGCAGAGCTGCAGCCGCCCCTTTTGCAAGCTGAAACGGAAGAACCACTACCACTGCAACGCTTGCAATCAGGCGTTCTCCGAATTAGACCGTTTGGTGGCTCACATAGCGAAGCACTCGACCGGCGCGATACTGAGCCAGCAGCAGCACGATCTGGCGAACCAGGTGCCGAATCAGCTGCAGCACGACTACCTGACCCAGTTGTCTCAGAAACACGACTTCATGGCGCAGAACGCCCAGATGGCCCAGAATATACAGAACTTCCAGACCCAGATGCAGCGTCAGATGCAGCAGACACTGGGCCAGATGAACCAACAGACCCAGAGCAAGGAGGTGAAGATAGAGCCCGTGAGATGTGTCTCTGACGTTGCTGTACAGAACCTCCCAAATGTAAAAAGAGAGCCCAGCGAGATATCCAGGGACGAGGGGAACCATTCCGTGATAGATACCAACGAGAACGGACAATTGTCCCTGCCCAGTCTTCCCCCGACCGTCCAACAATCCCCAGTCCCGACAACCTTCGAGCTGGACCTAAGTCACGGCTTTCATTTCACCAGCCCGGCCGTGATGGCCGCCATGAATCAACAGATCGCTCTGATGAACCAGGCGTTGCCACCTTTCCTTCAACACGGTGGCATGTACACAGGTGCACCTGGACTGATGTTCGCACCTGGTCTACCGCCAGCGAACTTTCTACCTCCCGCCAGGGACGAGAACCCCTTAGCCTCGCTGGCGGCGAATCTGAACCTGAACAAGAGGTCCTTATCCCCGCCCGATAGCAACTCCCCTGAAGCAAAGAAGCAAAGGCTGCATCATTCGATGAGGATGCTGAAGGACGAGCCTGTACCCGAAGGATACGTCAGGTTCGTGTTTTGCTTCCAATTGTATTGGAATTACTTTTTTTTTAGTTCAATAGTGTTGGAGGGACATGTTAAAGTTCAGAGCACAATGCTACCCATTACAGTAGACACTTGATAACTTTTCTGTCGCTAACTCTCCGCGGGGACCTATTACCCTCCACGTGTACACCGACAAACAAACTCTGCTCCCACCAGGGGAAAAAGTGGCGTTGGAGAAGGGCTTCCTAAAATTTGGTATCGGGAATTATTGGAATTTATGCCGAATTACAATTCGATGTAACATTTATTTTTCATTTCCCAGATAGTCCTTCTCCTACCTAGCCCCCGTTCGTGATAAGTTATTAAGATTCTGTACTGTACAATCATTTTCAAATAATTCTTGTCCCTAACCAGTCAAGTTTTAATTTCAGGTTCCGCTTCAATGAAGACTGCAGGTACACCCACTGCGGCTACCGGGAGCACCAGACCCATTTCCACTGCATGCGTCAGGATTGTGGCTACTCGTTCTGCGACAAGACCCGTTTCGTCCAACACACCGCCAGGCACGAGCGTCTGGACACCCTAATGGGCGGTGATTTCCAACAATACAGAGCGAACGTGCCCTGCGGTAGGGCCCAATGCGCGTACACTTCGTCGTTGGGCATGATGCAGAACAAGGCGTCGCACTTCCACTGTCTAAAGTGTGACTTTGTCTGCACGGATACAAACAAGGTGGTCGCTCATCGACGTCAACACGCGAAATTGGACAGCATAGCAGCCGCTGGCTTCCAGAAGTTCACACCCAGTCAGCCTTGTGGAGGTATCCAGTGTCAGCATTCGGGGAAACAGACCCACTATCACTGTCTACAATGTCAATACGCTGTGCTTGGCCTGGCGCAGATGTCAGCCCATAAATACAGGCACATGGACTCCTAACGACGATCCACGAATCGACCAATCGCTGGAGGAGGCTCAAGAAAAGACAACCGTTCGGTCCCCGTAGACATTCCTCGAGGAACACACGTTGATTCCCGATCAACTCGGGAACTAAGGAAACTGGGGGCCTGGATCTGGAGGATAAGGATCCCACGGACGGAACCTGATCAAGGACTGAAGGGAAAACGAAAAGACAATTTTTACTCTCCAACCCCCCCCCCCCCCCCCCCCCCCCAAGAACGTGGTTCCTGGACGAGCTGGATGATTAGGGGCGACACAGACCCGCTAGTCATTGATCAATCAGCCGTTTAGAATGAATCGGATAGCTCTAGAAGCGTCGAACGGATCGATGACTTCGTACTTACGAGGATAATTAATGGATGATGTGGATGATCGATGTATCTCGGGATACTGTGATCGGTACCGTTTGAGAAACTGGGACCAGCAGGAGGGTTTAGAACCGTTGGAATCCCGAGGAAACTTTGAATGCTGGCCTCGTGAAGAGTATCGAGCAGAAAGAAAGAGGATTCGAACGTTTGAAAACGTCGAATCTTTGAATGGAAGTTAGAGGTTCTTTCAGAAATTCCTCTGGATAACGTACCACGAGGCAATCATGAATTGGAATGTTCGTAGAGTACCGAAGTGATCCGACGAGGAGTACGGAGAAACCGTAGACAATAAACACGGACGACGAGTCTACCCGTAATAGCTTTAGCGCGAAGGAAAAAAGACAAACTGTAATATTTAATAGCAAAAGACACCCCCCCCCCTGTATTTTTTTCTTTTTTGTTTCTTTTTCTTTTTCTAGTATCGTGTACCCTCCGCGCGGTGCAGCGGCGACTTAGGTCCTAGAGTAGATAGTTAATATATTTACATAATGGAAAAGAGAGCTCTCGAATGCGGCTCGATAGGGGATCTTGCAGAGAAAGTTCGAGAACTGAAAATAGTTCGATGAGGGTCGTCGAGAGCCAGGAATCGAAAGCAGAGAGAATCGTTCTTAAATATGGCGTCTAGTCCACCGTACCATCGGCCTGTTCAGAGACGATTATTATTGTAGAAAGAGCCTGTGTGTGTCTGTGTAATTAACGGATCGATGACGGTGAATCGAGAGAAACGACAAGATACAGGAATCGAATTTGCTCTCTCTCTCTTCTCGTCGAACCGTCGATCATTGTCGTCCGATTTATAAGTCACCGCTAACGTTCCGCCCAACTTCACGTGTCCTTTCGGGAGTCGATCGAGCCGTACTAAAAGGAAAAACATGATGTTTATGCACGCTTCCTGGGGGGGATACACGCCGCGGCCGGGAGGGTACGCGCCTTCGTTAATCGTATTACGAGAACAGTATTGATATAAACGAGAGTTAAACGAAAAGACTGCCAGTCAAGGGCGAGACCGTGCAGAGAGTGGAACGAGGATTTCCGTGGAGAAAAACGGAGACGTTTTGTTGAAACTAAAGAGTATGTGTATATTACGAGTGTACAGAGTGCCAGGAGGGTCGAGAGATAAAGTATATATACGAGGTATACTATAAAAAGCGACAGCTCGGATAGAGATGGATGAGATATTTTATTTAAAATGATCACGAAAGTACAGTCGTATTGCTCGTTCAGGTTGATGGTAGATTTCGTAACAAACCATATGTGTGTTTCATCGTGAAAGGAAATCTGTTCTAACCAAATAAAATAGTTTAATCGATCGTTGTACTATCGAGGAGAGAACAAAGTATTCAGTGATATGTATAGATATTTGAGAAGTATTGATTTATCGATTAAAAGTATTTGATTTTAGTGTTTACGAAATTTTTTTTGGAACAGTAGGAGGAAACAAGATGGCGGCGCGAGGGGTCCGTCACGTGACCCGTCGAGTCGCCATCTTGTTGGGATATATCGACTCAACGTGAACGAGTAATAGACAGTTTATAGGAAGCTTTTCATTCGTTCGGAGAGTGGTATCGTTTGATTTTAAGATTGAAATTCTTATTTTCGTTCAAAGGACAGGGAGTAACAGTGTTGTTTGTGCTTGGATAAGGATTTTGTCCATCTCTGAGCTCGAAGAGATCGTCCAATACCTGCGTGACCTTATGTGCATGTGAGAACGATCGGATTTCTCGCGTTTTCAGTCCCAAGTTGGGACTCCGAACGGAATGGTCGACGACATTCGATACTTGTATTATTTTCCGTTTTTCACGGTTTCAGAGACGGTTCGAACAGTTCCGAGTGCCCCAGAGTTGAACAGTCGTTTTGGTTACCGATTTTGGTAACGTCAAAAAGAATGTTTGAGATGTTTCGTACGATTTCGGAAGGTCTACTACTTATATTTCAAATAATAACGAGGGAATGACAGTCGAGGGGCGCTCGTGAAGGAAAATTTTGACCCTTTATCGAAAATAACCGTCTCTACCCGTGAAAATACTTTTACTACGTTTGAATTCTTCCCGGGAAAGGCCTGCACTTGCGATTTTCATCCACGAAACTCAGCCCCCTTCGAACCACACCTGTCGTTGGTACAAGAAACGTGTTATATTACTGGTAACTGTTGTAGTAATCAATAATTTTATGTGCTTTCATCGAAATATTCAAAATATGCCAGATCCAATGTCTTATTGCAATTCGTTTTTAAAATTAAAAGTAAGTTTTAAAATATTTTTAGTAAATTGTGCTATTCAGAGAATTTTAAAAAAAACCTGACGCTTCAGATAAGATGCAATAAGATTTTTTTCTTATTGTCCAGAATTTTCTTTCGACAGAAAAATGTTTTTAAACCGTAACGTCGGGGGTGTGGTTCGGCCACGAATGCAAAAAGACCCGAGAAACGCGTACCATTTCGACGAGAACGATCAATTCTAGAGCCATTGTAGAGCCGTGTACATCCCGTAAGAAAAAAAGACGGAACGAGTGTGCGTGTGCCTGTGTGTGACGCGCGCCAGTGTGCCTTTAGAATTTTTCCCCTGAAAAAGAAAGAACTTGTAGGACCGTGCCTTAGCTCCGACAAACATATGCAGTTTCGCCTGCGAATCTTTTCTAATTAACCGAACAATAAAACGAGAACCGAGAACTATAGCGAACAAGATCGTAGATAGCACTAGTGCCTTAGAAACGGAAGAAACGAAAACAAAGAAAGAAATGAAACACGGTATCGAAACAAGCCTAGAAACATAGACGCTCGGTCTTCAAGATCCATTTTTCCATTGAATAATTCTCGAGAAATCTACCGTCGAATCCACAACAATCACATATTATCCTACAAATCGAACGACCAACGACATTCCTAAATAGTCAGAAAGAGAAACGAGGGTTGGCCCAGTGTCTCAGAGGCCAACTCTCTCGATCCCTTCATTCGTTAGTCGTTCGTTCATCATCGCGCAGCCACGATTCCGTAGATCAAAGTCGGACTGGGTTCAGAACAGCCTGGCCCCGATCGTGATTAACACCCCCTTTTCCCGTGATCAGGACGTCTACGAAACGATTGAAACGAAGGGAACGATAGAAGTAACTCGGAAGAAAAATCGGACTGAAAAATCTCGTGGATCGTCTAGAATCTAGACATCCAGCAGTTTCCTCTCGAAACGTTGTTCACGACCTAATGATCTTCTAATTCGTGGAACGTGAGTCCCATTTTTAAATTCCCTGAAAAATAACGATTCTCGTCGAGGAAGAATCGACAGGATCGCGAGTGGAAGAATCGTTTTTTGGAATCGGATAGAATCGGGGAACCGCGAGAAAAACGTCGTGGAAAAAGGAGTCGAGCGACGTAATTAAGGGGTGGCTGCAGTGGGAGGGGGTGGAGGCCAGCCATTTTAAACGAGTGCCATAAAACCGCCGATAGTAAGGAATCTCTCTTTGTCTCTCTCTCTCTCTCTCTCGAGCCTTAGAAGCTTTTCACTTTCTACTGTTTTAAGTCCGTGTGCACGTTGACACACGGTTGAGGGAGAGGTAAGAGGAAGCATCTTGTAACATATTTATTAGGGGGTTTGTGTAGGATCACGGAGTATCGATGGACGATCGCTAGAGACTCGAGGGTGGTCGAACGAGAGGGGACGGAAGGGGACGCTGATGGGGAAAAGGAAAGGAAGGTTTAACGTGTTTAGGAGCGACGATATGAACTGAGGTTGCCTTATAACTATCGAGCCTATATAATCGAACAGCAGTGAGTGAATGAATGTGAGTATGTAGGAGTGTAACGAGAGATGTATACCAGTAGAAGACGTACTATTATTTGAGGAAGTTTAGAAAGAGAGTCTATCGTACGGTCATTAGTATTAAAATACCTGCTGTATGGATGTAAGAGAAATGATAAAAGCTATTATATAATTTTATCTATTATTATTAATTATTATTAATTATTGATTAATATTATTTATTATTATTATTATTATTATTATTATATTATGAATGAGTATCCGGAACCACACATCTTATGTAGCTGTGATTTTGCTTTCGAACAAGTAAAGATTAAAAATATTTATAGCAACCGAACTGGGTGGTTCTTTTTCCTTTTCGTTTCCGGTCGATCGTTACCTGGGGTGGTGCTGGTGTTCTGAATAGATATCAAATTTCCCTATAGAAAGAATCTGAGTGTAATTAAAAATAGATAAATGTTTACGTAGATATTATCTTCTGTCGTGTGAGGTTGAATTCAGGAGACAGATAGATCGATTCGACCTATTTTAACGATAGATCTTCCGATATAGATTTCACGGAAATTAACAAGATCAACGTTCAATGTTTACCGGTGACATTGAAACACGTGGAAGTGGAAAATCACGAGTGTCGTTCAGAACAATATTAGTCGATGATAAATGAGGTGATTATCAAGTTTAGTTTCTCTTTTCGATAATATCAACGATTATTTTTCACGTTTATATTCCATCGAAAGGAATTTCTGCGTGCTCCGATCGTGCACAGTTCACGATGGCCAAAAGTAAATCGCGTTCGATGAGGCGATAGAAGTTTCACGAATTCTCTCTTCAAACAAGGAACCACTTTGCAACCAGAACA